GACTTCCTATTCAGCGCCAGATATTAGCTTTACCGTAATGTTTTTCTTCCATAGTTGCTCCTTTGTTTCCATGCTGGAATGTTTTCTGGGGGCTACATACTGCCTGTCACAACTTTTTATCTAAACCTCTCCACAACAGAGGGGCTCATAAATAGAACCTTCATCAGGTTAAAGCTGTTTTATCTTTATAACTGTCAGTTTATTGTAAATGATCTGGAAAAACTTTGCACTAGGGAACTCGGAGGAGGCACTAGGGAACTCGGAGGAGGCACTAGGGAACTCGGAAGAGGCACTAGGGAACTCGGAAGAGGCACTAGAGAACTCGGAGAAACTGGGAGGAGGCCCTAGGGAACTCGGAGAAAATGGTAGGAGGCACTAGGGAACTCGGAGGAGGCACTAGGGAACTCGGAGGAGGCACTAGGGAACTCGGAGGAGGCACTAGGGAACTCGGAGGAGGCACTAGGGAACTCGGAGGATGCACTAGGGAACTCGGAGAAACTCGGAGGAGGCACTAGGGAAGGTCTCAAGAGGGACAGAGGGCACTAAATAAACTTGAAACAATCAAAGTTATATATTAGTGGTGGTTATGGAACAACAAAAGGGCACAGGCGAATTTCTAGTCAAACAACTAACCTGTTTAGCTTAGCATAGTTTAGGTGTATAAAACTATTATTTTTTTGTAGTGTCGTAATGCTAACTGTATTCAACTTATGTATCATCTTAAAGTCAAACTTATTTGAAAAAATAAAAAATATTAATGGCAGTTGAAAAGTAACAAAAGGGCAGAAGCTTTTTTGGAAAGCCATTTTTTATTCCAATTAATTGTTTTACCGATTTGGCCAGTAGATGGCAGCAGATTGAAATACATCCAGCTCAGACAGAAAGCCCCACCATGTTCTGCTGTCTGAACAGAACTTGGTTCATATTTTCTAAATCCAACAAATGATAACATGAACACACATTTTTCTATGTTGTGTCAAAAACTCTGGAAAAGCCTGAGAATTTTTTTTTTTTGGGGGGCGCGATTTCCATATTTTGTTTTATCTTGTTATAAAATACAAAAATCTGAATTTTCTAGAAAATGCAAAGCAATTTTCAATAATTGCTCATATTTAGGTAACCAGTTTTAAAGTTTCAAGCCAGAAGATAAATACAGAAATCACTTTTTCAGGGATTTTTATGGCCAGATAATTGATTATCTGTCTCATCCTATCACAACATTGTGATAGTTTTAACAAATACACTTGCTTGATTTTATTTTATGTTTTTTCATTTTGTTGGGCCTCAAGCACTTTAGTCTGAACAATTTTGAATATCTCCCCATCAGATAGTGCAAATGTGCCACTATTGCCTGAACAATTCTGCAGTGCTTGAGATATATCTTCCTGTCCGATTGGCCGGTTGTCTCAAAAGGTGTCAGTCTCCAACCGGTTGACTTCCTGCCTTTGTTCAGAGGTCATTAGCCTGCGCTGCTGCTCTATCTTCATAAATTTGTCTTTTTTCATTTGAAGGAAGGCTGTCAGACATATCTGGGTGAACAGGAAAATGTGACCTGGCGCTTAGAGAACCTTTGCCCCGTCACACTCTTCCCAACAGCCTGTTGTGTGCCTCACGTCATCGGCCCTGATAACAGCTTGGCTGGGATGGAGAGCGCCCAGAGGGAGACTTTGTTATTCCCTCAGCTCTGTAGAGTGACAGCTACCTATTGTTTCTGTTCTCTCAGTCCTCCTCTGCCATGACTCCTTTCCGCATAGGCTCAGGACAGGATGTGGTGGAAATTTTTCTGTATTTGTTTGGCTTTTTCTGCTTTACTTCTTATACATTGTTCGTCCTTCACCAGGGAATAGGATGAGGAATTCTGCTCCTGCTATATTTAAAAGTGGATAGGTAATGCTTCCTGCTTTCTTGAGGCACACAAGTGGAAGTTTACTTTAATATAGTCACATTATTTACCAAAAACATGTTCTACACAGTTCTTCAAGTACTAATTTTGACCCACTGTTTGTAATTTACATACACAGCATGCTTTAGAGCTGAAACAATTAATGATGATGAATCGATTATTTAAATAGTTTGTCATCTATTCTAGTGATTGATTTATTGTTAACTGGAGTATACAGTCTCAACAAAGGCCATTTGCTGAAACAGCAGATAATGAAGCAAGAAATGTACAAAAATACATTTTACATTTACATCAAAGGAAAAAAACAAACAATTGTAAACCAATCTGCCTGATTGATTAGGCCTTTGATCACCATAGAAAGAAAAGGTACCGTCTTATAAAAATCTGTCAATGCAGGGCTGGACAATAAATCAATAATAATACACATATTACGATAGAAACGCAATATCAATAGATGATGCATCAGATAGAAAATTTAATATTTCGAATATTCACTGAACTCTGCACAGCATTCTGGGAAATGTAGGCAGAGGAAAGGCTTAAGCTGAGCATAGTGGTGGAACCAGCTGTCTCTTTAACTCTTTGGTTACCTAGCAACTCACTGTGCTCGACTGGTTTGAATCCTACATAAAGAACAGGATTTCTTTGTTTCAATTGGAAATTTCTCATCAAAGAGGTCAAAGGTCACATGTGGGGTACCCCAAGGTTCAATCCTAGGACCCCTCTTATTTAATATTTATATTCTCCCACTAGCTCAGGTCATAACAGGAAATAATATTAGCTACCACAACTATGCGGATGACACACAGCTCTACATTACGATGTCACCAGGTGACTCTGAACCCATCCAATCACTGAATAAATGCTTAGAGCAGATAAATGTGTGGATGTGCCAAAACTTTCTCCAACTGAACAAAAATAAAACTGAAGTCATTATTTTTGGACCTAAAGAGGAACGATCTAGAGTCAATGCACAGCTTCAGTTATTACAACTAAAAACTAGCGATCAGGCCCGAAACCTGGGAGTAGTGATGGACTCGGACTTGAACCTCCAGAGCCACATAAAGACAGTAACAAAAATCGGCCTTCTATCACCTGAAGAACATCTCCAGGATTAGAGGACTAATGTCTCAGCCAGATCTAGAGAAACTCATTCATGCGTTTGTCTTTAGTCGCATTGATTATTGCAACAGCGTCTTCACAGGCCTGTCCAACAAATCAATCAAACAGCTGCAACTGATCCAGAATGCTGCTGCTCGCGTTCTCACTAAAACCAGGAAGATAGAGACATAACACCAGTTTTAAAGTCCCTCCACTGGCTCCCTGTAGCTCAAAGAATAGATTTTAAAATATTGTTGTTAGTTTACAAATCACTGAATGGTTTAGCACCACAACATCAAAGATCTGCTGTTGTTGTATCAACCTTCCAGACCTCTCAGGTCTTCTGGTTCTGGTCTGCTCTGCATCCCCAGAACCAGAACCAAGAGAGGAGAAGCAGCTTTCAGCATCTATGGACCAAAAATTTGGAACAAACTTCCAGAAAACTGTAAAACAGCGGAAACCCTGACTTCCTTCAAATCTCAAGTAAAACGCACCTGTTTAGAGTTGCATTTGAAATGTAATATGTATGGATTTGATTTTGTGGATATGTATGTAATTTTTTTTTTTTTTTTTTTTTTTTTTTTTTCCTGTTGTGGGCAACGGGGCCCGGCGAATACCCGTGGTTAAACGGACGGCGGAGTCCGGCGGTAACAAGCGCTTAAATTCCGTGTCAAAGGGAAGGGGGAAGAAAGGGAAAAAGAGGGAGAAAAAAAAAAACTTGGTATTTTATTATATGTTGCATGCCTTTGTGTTTTGTGTTTTATGATGTAAAGCACTTTGAAATGCCTTGTAGCTGAAATGTGCTATACAAATAAAATTTGATTGATTGATTGATTGATTGATTCCATGGTTACCTAGCAACTCACTGTTCCATGGTTATCTAGCAACTCACTGTTCCATGGTTACCTAGCAACTCACTGTTCCATGGTTACCTAGCAACAACCTGTTGAGTAACTTGTGCTCAGGCAAACAAATTTCTTGAAATCTTTTCAGTTCTCTGCTCCGTCCTCTTTGAGCCAATTCCAAACATACATTAACTTAAAGTTTCTGGTCATTACATGTTTTTAAGGCTGTTGTTTTGGGAAGGAATCATCGATCTGTGAATGTTTCGACTCAATAATTCATGTCATTTATGATATTATTTACTTTTTCTGTGCCGCTCTTCTGTAAATGTTGTGTAACCTCTTTATACTTCAGCCAGTCTTTGCTAGGATCCTCTTCCAAAAGAGATTTTTAATCTCTGATGTGGAATAAAGGTTAAATAATAAAAATAAATAAAAACAAAATCTGTTAAAACCTTGATATTTTTGACAACTCACAAACAACTGTCTGTGTGACGTAATAAGATTTTATGACTTTTATCACAAAATGTCATTTTGGATAAATGAAAGTAACCTCAGAGAGGACAAAAAAATGGGGTGAAAGGTCAGAGGTGACCTTTCACCCCATTTTTCTGACCTTTCACAATAAAACCAAACTGCAGTCAAACAGTTCATGAATGCATGCTGATAAAATAGCTTTTGCCCATTTATCTGCTGATAAAAAAAATCCTGAAAATGCATAATTTAGGTCACATTTTTAATAAACAGCTCCAGAAAAACATGTAAGCATTAAACCAGAGAAGGGTAGTCTGGACTGAAGTAGAACTAATTTGACATATTTTTACTCAAATAAAAGAAATGGTAGAAAAAATAACATTTCTACAGACCTTTCTACAGATAATAGTCACATATACCGTCTTGAAAATCTGGATTTTGCTCATATTTAGTTGACGTCAAACATCAGTGGGGGGAAATATACAGTAAACCATTCTGTCTTAAAACTTGTGGAGATTTTTTTTGTTATTATTTGAGTTTCTGTGACAATAACGTGTCTTCTGTTGCATGAAAAGTTTCTGAGCATCGATGCCGGTCATTCAGGAAGTAGAGAGGAGGGGCGTCCAGGACGAACCCTTTATTAACCTGTTCCCTTCACACTCATTAGGCTCCCTGTTCACCACATCTCTGCCTGATCATTTCAGCATCTTAAAAACCAAGGATTAAAAAAATATGAAACTCAACTTGGTAAACATCTCCTTTTTCTCTGCAGAGAAGATCAAGACTGAAGAATTTTGAAAAACATTTTCTTTATTATCAAATAATTTCTGTTAATATTATCACAAAAAACCAGCTGCAACCATTTCACCACCGGCAGCCATGTACAGCTCCAGCTGCTCCCGGGTCAAGCTCGGCCCAGAGGCCCGGCAGCCGCTGTACAGGAACAAAGGAAAGAGCTGCGGCTACTACATGAGGATCATTTTCTTCTTTTCATCCCTCATCCAGTCGCTCATCATCGTCAGCCTGGTGCTCCTGCTCATCTATGGACAGCCAGAAAAGTCTGCAGAGGAGGAGCGGGTCAAGGTTAGTGATTTCCTTTACATGCTCATAAAGTAACTTTTATCAGAGTCTGATGAGAAAAAAATCTTACAAAAGCATGATTTTAAAGGACTATGTGACATTTTTCAGTTAAAGAAAACACAAACATTGAACGAGACGAGGGTAAAGTACACAAAAGTTGTACTCAAGTAAAAGTAGCACTACTTCAACATATTTTACTCATGTAAAAGTAAAAAGAAATGACTCAACTGAGAGTGAAAAAGTCTCTGGTAAAAAGGCTACTCAAGTAATAAGTAGCTGATCAAAACATCAGTTATTTAAATGTTGGTATTTTATATGTAATTATTCACATAATTACAAAATAAGGAAAAATACGATCAATTAAATTTATGTTTTAGTTTTGTGTCTGTCTGGTGAATTTTTGGTTCTTCATTCAGTGAAGTTACTTACAGTGGAGAAGAGTATCCAGATGTTTTACAATACTTCATAAAAATCTTCTCAAGTCAAACTAAAAAGTGCATGTTGCATTATTGTTTCATTTAATCTTTGTTTAACAGTGAATGATCTGTTCAGAAAGCATTAAAACACCCTTAAGCTTAATAAAAATACCCCTAAAAGTTAATTTTTCCCATAAAGTTTCTCAGGTAAATGTGAATATCTGACTCTGCATTGAACTATTGCTGATTCTTCATATATTGTGCAGAAACTGGACCTGGAATTTACCAAGCTGAGCACAGACAACATGAAACTGACAAAGGAGAAAGTTGAGCTTGGAAAAAAGCTTGCAACTTGTGTGGTTGAGAAAACGGCTCTGCAGAAAGAGCTAGCGAAGCAGCAAGCTGAGGCCAACTTCACAAAATCCAGATTCAACCTTGTAAGTTCAGAGAATAAACAAGAGGAAGCTGCATTTTTCTCTGTCAAGTTGCAGAACTGCACTTTGTCAAGATAACCCGAGATCATCTCATCATTTCCATCCTCACTTTCATTTCTGTTCTTAATGGCACTTCTGTGGAAAACGATTAGAAACACTCAAAAAATGAATTCTGGCTTTTTTCCCCCTTAGATTTCTGATTTGATCTCAGAAGATGAAATTCAGAAATCTGAAAAAAAAAAGTAAAAAAATCAGTCAAATTCTTTTCTTTTTTTATTTTCAGTGGCTGAAACAATTTTCTGCACATTACCGTTGCTTCTCCGTTGATCATCTTTGTAATAATAGAAATGAAAACCTGTTCATCATCTAATTCACCTTCTTTTATGTCGTTTTTTTTTAAATGGGCAAACCTTGAAAAGCAGAAAAGCATCACTCCTATGCGCTGTCCTCCCTGTCTTCCACCAGCTACACATATCAGTAAGTTCAACACTGCATAAACATCTCAGAGCAAAGCAAACAACAACTTTAGCTGCGACTGAAACATTAAGAGTTCATAAGCAGTCCGAAGATACTTGTAAGAGTTTGACTTCTGAAGTTTTCCAGGACTGAATAAAAATGTAATATGGATTCATTGCAAGTGATTGTCCTGCAGATCAAACTAATGTCTACTAAACTGACTAAAGCAAGCAGAAATGATCCAACACTGAATTCTAGTTAGATTAGATTTTCCTGTGACACAAACCTTCCGTCTGAATCCTGCAGATAAAGCAAAGTGTCAGGAACACATCCACAACGCGACAGCATTTGTTACATCAAACGTTCAGAATTTGTTGTCCGAGAAGGACAACGCCATCAGAGATCGAGACAACGCCATCAGAGATCGAGACAACGCCATCAGAGATCGAGACGGCCTTCTCATGGAGGTCAGGAAACGGCATGAAGCCACGAGTCTCCAGGAGGAGAAACTCACCACCTACAGAAGGTGCCGTCCTCTTGTCTGTCTGTCCAGATGGTGCATTTGTCCTAAAATGTAAAGAACAATCTAATAATGGCTTCTTCCTTTTTTTTCAAATCAGGAAGTGCAAAGAAGACTTTGTTCAATCTCTGAGTGGGATCCAGACAGTGACCACCAAGTTTTTGAATAAGATCGACAACCTGTTCCCTCACTCGCTGACGTTCCACCTCACCTGCAAGAGCCAGAAAGAACAGCTGGAGACGATAAAAAGCAACTGCACCAACTTGTCCAGGGATGTGGAGAACAAGTTCCAGCCGTATCTGGACCATGTGGGCGAGAAGGTGCGTGAATGCAGACTGGTTCAGTCCCAAAGCATAAAGAGATTGAAAAGAAACAACATTTCAGGCTTAAAAACATCCAACGCTGCAGCAATGTGACAATTTCTCCTGGTTTTGGTGAAAGTTAAGTTTTTTCTGTGGTTTAGTAAATCAAAGTGAGTTTTGCATCAAGTTTGGCTGCCAATGTTGGTCTAATAAAAAATCTAAATAGAGACAGAAAATCACATCATAAAATCAAAGAGGAGAAATAATTAGAATAAACAATTTCACCAAATAATAAGTTAATACCTTAGGGAATCATATTATCTGCAGAGCATTAAACCTCACAGGTAATAACCTCGGCCAAATCAACCCGGGAACTTTCCCTCAACACATTTCTTCCTAAAATCCCCTGCAAAAAACAAGCTGAGCAGGAAACCCGTTTCTCCAGGGAGGAAGTTTACTCACGGCATCATTCCTGATAAATCCAGCTAAAGAGACAGATGTCCTGTGAGGCAAACCCGAGGTCAATGCCGAGGTGAAGCTGTCCGCCCTGCTGATGCAGCAGGACAAAAGACTAAACTTGTCTTAAGCAACAACATAATGTTGTTAATCTTTAAAAAGCTCCAAAGGACAACCAGAAAGCTTCACCTTTATAGGATTTATTTCTTCACCTGATAAACTTTAGCTTTTCCTTTCAGAGTTCAGTTAAACTGGCCTGTGCGCCACATCCAAGATAAACTAAGGAAGGAAATTAAATATCCATTAAATGTTTTGTTTTTTAAAGAGAAAATATGATTTTATCCTGCAGATGACTGAGATTCAATTGCGGTCCAGTGAGCTTGAGGTGCAAAACTCGGATCTGACCTCCAAACTGCAGCAGTGTGAAGACAAATACAAGACGGCGGTCGCTAAAGCTACCTCGGATTTAAACGAGCAGCAAAAGCTTTGTGATCTTCAGGTAGGTTCTGGAGCTGAGAAAAGCCGTTTTCTTCAGTTTAAAGCTGCAGTAGCTTCTACAAAAATATGATTTTTACATGATTGTTAAAACTAGTAGGAGACATATTTTCCCAAATAATCTTCTACTATTATCATCTGAAGAAATGCACTGCTATTGGTCAAAAACAACCAATTAGTCAGGAGGAGGGACTTAGGCAGAGAAACAAATGTTACAGAAAAACGTTGTTGGTAGTCATGCTAACTAGCAGAGCAGACGGGGTGTGAGCAGCACATACAGAAGAGTGATTGACACTATTCTGTCACGGTGTAATGATAACTTTAATAAATAGATTAAAAAACATGTTTTATGAAAGTTACAAACTGTAGCTTTAATAAATAAATTAAAATGCATTTTTGTTTTAAATTGGTGCATCTTTTGTTTTAGTTAACGACATTACTGAAAGATAAAATGGTGCAGGAGCAACAACTGACCCAGAAAGACACAGAGATTCAGACCCTGCGTCAAATGCTGCCCAGCAAGGTAAGATACAGAGAAGCAATCTCTATGTGAACATGAACAATTGATTCACACATTTTCTGTCCAGATTTAAGAATTTTGGTAAGGCAAAAACGGTAAAACTTCACTGTGAGGAAGTAAATACCCGATCTGTGGTTAAACAATAACAAAATCACTCAATCTTTTCACAGCTTGTCCCACCAAACACTGCTTTCCTGCAGCCTGTGCCTCAGCAGGGGAGGTAGGCTGCGACCCACACGTCTGGCGCTGACAGCTGCAGCAGAGTTCCCCCTCCGGAAACTCACCACCTTGAGTCAAACCTTGAGTCAATCTTTTCCTGTTTTCATTTTGCTTGAGAGGGAGAGATAAAAGTGACTGGTCATTTTGCTTCATTAATCCTCTAACAAGCAGGAGTTTGTGTGAAGCTGCTCATAATTAAACTTGTTTTACTGCATATTGTAATTAATCTCAATTTTCAGAAGCTACAAACAGAGTTGCTGCTCATTGTTTACAGTAAAACTGGAGTTAAGACAATAATATTGGAAATCAAAAGTCTATATTTTTTCTGCTCTTGCATGTGTCGTCATTCGTTCAACATGTGTTAATAAATGTTTTTTAAATATTTTTCAGGTTGGTTGATATGAGTTGTGAATCCATCTATTACCTGTAGCATCAATTGCTTAAGCACAGAAAACTCACCACAACTTCGACTGTGAACTTTCAACGTGTTTATGTTGCTATTGTTAAGCAATTCGACAAAACCTGTAGATATCATTAGCATAACAAAATTACACCTTTCTACATTTTCAGTACTTTACAGAACACACTAAACACAATCTGATCTTAAATTATTTTAGTCTAACCTTAAATGTGGATGAAAGTGAAACAATTTTCTGGTTAAACGGAAGCAAGCAGAAATGTTATTCCCTGAGATGTAAGACTGAGTTAGCACCAAGCTACTGCTAATTAAAAGAGCAGTATTGTGTATTTTTCATTTCAGAGCAGAATCAATCAATCTTCAGTCGTTTCAAAAAGGTATACATATATCAAAATATCTTAAAAGAAATTTGACTTTGCAATTCAACACTTTGAAATCAGGCCTCTGTCTCTTTAAGAGCAGACCTCTTTCCGACTTCGCCTTCTACATCGTTTCAACCGTTTTCAAGAGCTTTGCAATGAGAAATAGTTTTAAAATGAGTTTAGCTGACTCACAGTTTCAACAAGTGTTAGCTAATTGGTGGTGCTGCTGCTAGTCTGAAGGAGCAGTGTGAGGGAGGCGCTAATCCTTTCGATGGGGGAATAATAAAACTACATTTTACATAAAAGTAACTGATTAATTCATCATCAGTAAGAGGGATTAGTTTTTCAAAGACAGGATGTCAGCCAAGTTCCTGGTCCAGCTTGTAAACATGATGTAAAAAACCCAGAGGGATACAGGTGTAAATATTTTACTTGTGCTTCGCTCACAAACTAAATATGGACTTTGACTGACTCCAAAGCAGGTTTGCCCTCTTATTGTCTCAGCGATCGTAAAACTGCAACAAAGACTCGAGACGAGGACACGTAGAGTCGCTATTTTGTCTGCTGCGAGCTAAAATAGCAACATTTATGTTTCCTTGTGATTCATGAGCAGTTTGCACAAAAACACATCATCAAGACTGGAGGTTGCGGCTCTATTTCAAGTTTTGTGTTTATGGCAAGCTTCAAAATAGGTCAAATCTATTAGCTGTCTGTTTTATGGCTTATAGTTTTTGTAACTATTATAGGAACTGTTCTTTAGCTTTACAGCTTCCCTTTCCTCCTAGAAGTTAGTAGCACAAAGGTTTCTGTTGCTGGAAATAGATGCTGGTCCCTTTTTAACGATTATTAGAGGTCCATTTTGGTACATATGAAAAGGAAAAGAGAAAAAACTGAAACATTGTAAACAGAAAATTTACTCATCAAGTTCAGGATCAGGTTGAATTGTCCTTAAACTTTGTGTAAATATTGTACAGATTATTCATGCTGTGATTAAAATTATACATTTATTTTTCTTAAACTACATTTTCCTGCTTTATTATAGTAATTTTACATTAAAATGTTTTTCTTTTACTAACATATCTATGCAAATATAAACCTTTTGCTTAACTTTGAGGCACCTATAATAATCTGACTTCAATTTATCTTTGAAATGTATGATTTGTTTTTAACTTTGAGTTTAACCAACCCGATTGCTCTGAAATATGTGAATAAATTGTGTTATTATATTACACATGGTTTGTTGAAGTTAAATAAGCTTGTTGCATCAGAAGTGAAAGTTTTTCTTCTGTCACCAAATAATAAAGCTACAAATTAATCTGTTTCTGAGTAAAGGAAAATAAACCACTGATGTTAAGAGCTGTAAATAAAAACTATTTTGACTTGAATATACTGCGTTTGTGTGTAACTTTATGTAAAAAAGTCTCTTTCAGCAGACATCACTCAATGGAAAAGGAGTATTAGTTGTAAAGCTCACATTTTTCAGCCTTTATTCATATGATTTGTTTTAGGCTATGAGCTCCAAGTCCTTGTTGCCATCAGCAGAATTAGAAATATGTGGTAAAATTAAATTATGGAACAATAATTATTCAAGAAGAAGAAAAATATTGTTTAAGGAAAGTTAAAAGTCTGCTTGGAAGAAAAAGATTTGGTCCAAAAAGACCAAAATTTAAACTTTTTGGTTGCAAAAGGAAATAAAGAACATTCCTCAGTTTCATCAGATTCAGCTGAAGAATCAACAGAAGTGAGTAAATCTAGTAGAAACATCTCAAAACATGCAGCAGTAATTTGGTGGTTAGAGAAAGTATTGAAACATGACAGCTGATTACAAATGCACTCCACACTTTGCAGATTTTAATTAGGAATTTATGTTGGAAACTGTTTTTACTTTCACTCCACAGTCACTACTTCACATCCATTCACGTTTTTACATGCCTTTTTTCTTATGGATGTGACTTATTTTTATTATAAATGTTTACCGTAAATTACTTTTCTTTTAGATTTCAGTGTCGCTATTGTAACTTTTTAATCCCTTCCATCAACTTGCTAAGAGACGACAGATGAAAATTAGCCTCTCTGGCTAAATCTGGTATATTTACATGACAATTTTTTTATTTTTAATAAATATTGTGTAATTAGATTAATTAGAAATCAGCATGTTATTCTTACAATACATTTAAAAGTCAGTTTATTTTGTTGTTCCAGTGGTTGGTGGCAGAGATCCTTGACTATTTCGGCTTCATCTAATTCCTGTAGTCAGAACTTGTTACCAGAAAAGAAGCCAAAGAGACAGAGAGAGAAAAACGTTTTCTGTTTTCCATATTTCATTAGAAAACAATCTGTCAGGCTCACTTTTCTGATTAATGTGAAATCCACAGGTGAGTCTGTCTACTTTCTGTTGGCAGGAAATCCTTTGTTTAACATGAAGTGTTTGTGATTCCATGTATAGTCCCGGATGCTCTCATGCACACCGATTCACAGGGATACAGGCCGGACCGGGCATCAGTCAGAAACCATGTGAAACTATGTAAGAAATATTTACCTGTTATGAGTCCTTATTTATCCATTTGACTTTTTTGTCAATCAGAATCAAATTTTATTTAAAAAAAATTGGAAATAACAGATTAAAAAGATTAAAGCTTTTTCAACCAGACGTTCTACTTTTCAAACTCAGAAATTGCCAAGTTTTTTTCTAGAAAAAAAGGGCCTAATATGCCATCATGCAAACATCAGCCAGTTTAGACAAAAATCCTTAATTACTTTGCAAGAAAGATGAATAAATTTTTTTTGGGTCACTTTTGGTTGAAGCATCCAAATCAACAAAATAATGACTTTCTCGGAAAAACATGAAAATTTAGACATTTCTAGCCAGAGCTAAATGTGTGCAGATATTTCCAAAAAAACAATAACAAAGAAGCAAAATTGTGTCGAGTTGTGTTACCTTCACAGCAAACATTTACATCGAAAGTATTTAAAGACAAAGCTCCAAAATTTCTAACCACAAATCACAAGGACAGCGAATCCCACTTTTAGCTCAAACTCCTCCAGCTTTGTCATCAATCAGAGAAAACATGAAAGAGAATCAGAGAGTTGACAGAGCAAAGCGGCAAGAGGAAGAGTCGCCAGCTCAGACTGAGTCAAACAAATGTAGAAACATCAGTTACACCGGTCTGCAGCGGGCCAAATGTCGTCAGAGACAGGGAGAGAAAAACCAGGGGAAGAAGGGTGAGGAGTTCAACAAGGAAACATAAATATTTGATCAAGGGCAGATTGACAGGCGAACAAAGGGTGCAGAGATTATCGCCTCCAAAAACGCCCTTTTCCCACTGAAGGGAGAAGTGCTGCCCCTTGCTACCTGCGTCTCCATTACAAATGTGCCCAAAACTGTATTGATATAGCGCTAATGTTGAAAAAACACAATTCCGCAATAGTGGTGCTTGTATTAAATAAGAAAATGTAAATAAAACCACAAGTTAGTAAGTTTGTTTAAAAGATAAGATGGATGTCAGCATCCGACTTTCACTTTCTCGCGTCTTTTCCGCCTTCTGTAACATCAAAAAGTGTTTCTGTTGCAGTTTTGCGATATACATCATACACCAATATTTTCTAAATTGGTCTGTTTCCATTAAACAAATGTATCTTTGTCTTCCCAATTTGTGCAATTATCTGGTCAATGGACACTCAAACATTGTCCTTCATCCAGAACTGGAGTAGAAACTGAAGTAAAAAAACAAAACGAAATGCTAAATGCAATCTTACACTTCAATTTAAAACTCAATTCAAAAATTATTTGTTAATCCAATAGGAAAATTAAATGTTGTAACTCGTTGTACTTATATCCCCTTAAAAGTAATGTAATATTGAGAAGATAAAATGCTTGAATTTGATCTAGTAAACAATAAACAGATGTCATCACAATGTTATTGTCTGCAGTACTACAATCACACATTAATGCTCAGATTCAAATGATTACAATTGAGATATTTTTCTGTTTTTGTTTGTAAATACAGTGAGAGAGCTAAGCCTGAAGATGTCAGGAAGGAAAATAATTCAGTTACTTCAAATAAAAACAAAATATATGTATAACAAATAATTTACTCCTCTACCTGCTTCAACCAAGATAAAATGTTTCACTTCAACATTTGGTCCTTTAACAGAGTCTTTCTGTTTTGCTTATTTGTTGAGTTGAAATGTTGTAAATCACAAAACAAATAACATAATCTGAACTTCAAATCATGATTTCAGTTTTTATTGCAAAAAAGGTTTGCCCAAATCAACCTAGTCCTATTTAAAAGTTATTTCCTATACGTTTGGCAGCAAAAAATTTATTTATAGAGACTCACAGTGAATTATGTTCATCAATGCGTATAAATTCAGTCACACTGGAGGGTTTTCAAGCGTGTTTAGTTTACGCCAGGGCCTCTCAATTAGTCCAAACTTTGACTAGGCAACCCTAAAACCTGTACAGAGGATAGCCAGATATTTTCTGCATTTGTTTTAACATGTGGGCCTTCCTTTATAGTTGTCAACCATCAAATAGAGAAACATTTACGAATAAACAAGAAAAATATCAATTTTAATGATAAAAGTAGACATCCACATGCTCAGCTGACCTTGTCGAGGGCACAGCTGATTTTGTTTTGTTTGTGCTGCTGCCCTGAATGACAATATTCAGCCTTGGAAAAGTTTTTCAGATGATGACTGAGTCGGTGCCAAACACTTGTTCAGTATATTGGGCCCCGGAGACACTGCCATCATCCTAAAAGTATTTCAGCTGCTTCAAAAAAAAAAAAAAAAAAAAATGCCACCAGAAAAAATATTTTTGTCCTGGGAACGGAGGTACGTCAGCAGCCAAGAACACAGAGCCGAGCCGATTATTTGGACCCTGAAGCATGGCACGGAGCCCAGGCCGTTCCAGGCACTAAACGGTTCTGTGGGAAAACAGCCTTCCTCCCTGAGTGGGCCGTGAGCACCTGTGTTCTGCGTTTTCACTCTCGCGCCTTTATTTTCCGATGCAGAAGTCTTTGAAGATAATATCCAGGATCTCCTCTGCCCCGACTCGTCCTGTGATCCTCCCCAGGCTGGTGAGCGCTAACCGGACGCCCTCGGCTGCCAGAGCCAGGTCGGAGTCGCGGTACCGCCGATACTGAGCCAGCGCCGCCACACACTGCTGCAGGTGGGCCCTGTGGCGGGCCTGGGTCAGCGTGGGCGCTCCGGAGAGAGGGTCACCACACCTAGAGAGGAAGTCAGGAGAACAAAACGAACGAGAGCAATAAAACAATCATTACTTTTTGTGCTTCAGTTTGCAGAAGAAAATCAGACCAAGAATAACAAAGATGAGGTTGAAGTCATAAAAGCTCATCAGCAGCAGAAAACAAATATGTGAGAGGCGCACAAAGAAAAAACAAGTGTTCAAGAAAGCTTCACCAAAAACAGAACATGTATGTAGGTTTGTCACAATAACAAATTTCAATGGATGGAAAACTAGTAATTAGGTTATTAGATTACTAATACTCTCAGTAATTACTGTGCTAGTAATTATTGAAATAAACAATAATATTGTTCTTTTGAAACTGTTTTTGTGCATAATAATGCAAGTTTCCTCCCTAACTTAGTAAATGACACTTAATACTGGAACTGAAATACATTTAAATATTCAAAATCAAACAACAACCAAAAAACAATAAATACAACAGAAATAAAAAGAACACACAACAGAAACCATAAATAAAAATGATAATCAAATCTCTGTAAACAAAATTACCATTCAAAAATACTGAGCATCAGAATTTACATTTTCATTTTAATTTATCACACAATTAACTGATTAATTGTGTGATAAACTGATTAATCAGTTAATTAATAATCAGATAATTAATAATCTAAGCGACAGTCTTAGATGTACGTTACAGTCAAATAGTCATGTTGTTAACTTTTTAATAGAGATGCATCGATACAAAAATTTGGGCCGATATCAATATAAGATATTGTCTATTATGGTCGATAAACAATATTTACCAGTATAATATATATTTCACAACCGTTTCAACACCTTTGGGGGGAAAAAAACACCAGAAACAGATAGAAATAAACGTCAGTTTTTCATATTGGCCCAGTTTTATTTATCCGACTGATTTCAATGTGTCACAAAATTGACAATCCTGATACCAATGTTGGCGCCGATGTATCGTGCGTCTCATCTTTTCACTCCTCTAATACACTGATTTGAGGTGATGAAATGAAAAACATACATTGTTTTGACGCTGCTTTGCAGCACAGTGAGAAAATCCTTCAGTCCTTCGTTGGTTTGACAGGAAATCAGGCAGACAGGTGGGAGTCCAGAGACTCTTCTCAGCCCCAGATTCAGCTTCTCTCTGTGAGCCTCAGGTAGCAGATCAGTTTTATTCAGCACCAGGACACACCTGCCTGCAGAACCAACACAAACATATCACTAGTGTAGTTAGATTTTAATTGATAGACTATGGAAAACGATTAGTCCCTCTGGAAAAAAAGGATTTTTGCTTTCACAAATCAATCAACATTCAACATTTTACTAAAGATACACAAACACCTTGATGATGTCATTATGATGTACCTGCTCCAGGCTGGTCCTGGGAGGACAGGACGCCCCTCAGGTGCTCCAGCAGGAGCGCTGTAGCTTCCTGCTCGTCTGAGGGGAGGATGGTGGAGTCAACGACCAGCAGAGTCAGATCAGCCTGCTGCACCCTGCAGAAAACACAAACAGCATCCAGGTTCAACCTGGATGGAACTTTTCTGGAGACGGAGACATTTAAATTCTCAGTATTGGCTAAATCCCTGTAAATAGAAAATGTTTTGTCTCGTAGAACTACTTTAGCCGACTGTCACAGCGGTGTTTATGATCTGGTCATTTATAAACCAAAATATTTTAAAGATAGTCCATTGAACCCACAGTGATAAATAATGATAATGAACATTGATGATTTGTATTCTCACTCCTAGTAATGTAGTTCTAGTATATTATTTTTTACTTTCTTTGGTTGTTTACAATATAATTTGTGATAATTTCTGTCATCAGCTGAAGGAGCCTTAAAACCAACACTAAATGTGAAATAATTAAAGTTTTACATAATTTCAGAGTCTTATGTTTAATAGGTTTGAATTACACAGTTTTATTTGTGTTGAATGTTTCAATGTTTCGAATTCATTAATATAAATCACTGATTTTTCTTCTATAATTTAATGTAATTTACTATTTTTTTTTCTTTTCATCTAAAAAGATGGTCAACAAGTGACAATTTTCAGTTTCAGTAGTTACAGCTGTCATCTTAATCGTTTTGTTTAATTTAGGACAGGAGGAGCTTCTGACTGAACATGTCAATCATTTCTGCAGTTTTTCCAGTGGGAATTTCTGAAAAGATCTGGCATTTTAAGTCTGGGAGTGTATACATTATTATTATTATTAAATTTATCACTGTGAAAGGCATCAACGTGAAATAACGCCGCCTTGCATCCATCCAAACGTAAGGTAGCAGCAGGAGTGGCAGCGGATGCTTGTATTCACCACGTCCTTCCTGTAGTGACCCGGGTCACGAGCTCCAGTCCTGCTCCCTGCAAACCGACAAAGTGCCCACCCTTCCTATAGAGCCACCTAACTGGAGCAAAATTACTCTGACATTTCTGGGTTTTTATCTCAATGTAAATTTGTTCATCAAACAAAATGCAACAAATGGAGAAATATGTTTTTTAAAATGACTTTTTGTCATACTCTATAAATTTTTCCCTATATAAATTAGCTATTTCTTTATCTGTTAATTATGTTCTCATTCTGATACAATTTATTTCTAACATTTTAGTAACATATGCTGCTTTTTTGTACAGGAAGAAAGGTAAGGAAAAAAATATTCTGGCCTCTTTTCAAGATGTGCTTTCAGTGCCTCACCAATCCCATTTTAAACCAACAACACACACTTCCACAAAAAAACAAAGTTTTTTCACTTTTGATTTTCTAGTTTCTTTTTATCACATTTTATTTGACTGTTAAAGCACCGCAATGACTAATGTATTGTTTTAAAAGAGCCGTTAAAATCAAAAGTTAAGCCCTGCAGCACTCTAAATCTTTTTTTATTGCTCTCTTTGCACTGAAGCAGACTGCCTGCCAAAAACACAAGTAGTTTGGGAAACGCTTGACATTAATTTTCTAGGGGAAGAAAATAATAATTTAAACAGAATATGTTGAAAAGGTTTGACATATTTACACCTAAAGTTCTTCATACCAATCATATGGTAAAAATAGAGCCACGACTTGATTTTGATAACAAGATCAGCTTATTTTCTTGGATATTTATGTCCAACTAACTGTTTTAACTTGTTTATATTTTTTCACTTGAGTGTCCGTCCTGTAAAGCAGCGATGACAAATGCACCAAGTATTCTTCGCTGATGTAAATACTGGATGCCTCTAAGAGTGAACCATTATGAACATATATCATAACACTTGAAAAACTCACAATGAGGAACGGTGGCTCTTCATTGCATAACCTCCTGGGTGTGTTTGTCCCATGTATTTATAACCGTGGCTCAGCAGTAATATAAACTGAGGCAGCTACACAGACATTACAGAAAAGACTTATTTCTTCCTTTCTTTGTTCTCTAGAACATCCTTCTTTGGTCTCCAGTCATTTGTTCTGTTAAATTATACACGTGAACACTTGCTGAGGCAGCATTCAGCACACATCGTTACGTAGAGCGATCCTGTTCAACCAGCATCGAATTTCTCTCTGGTTGTGAGGATTTCAATTGAACATAAATTAACTGGATTGTTAAGAAGTTGTTTTGGTTTGTACCTCTCCCTGGCCCGACGGACCCCCTCCTGCTCCACCAGGTCGGTGCTGTCTCTGAGGCCCGCCGTGTCGCTCAGCAGGACAGGGAAGCCCCCGATGTTCAGCGCCGACTCCACTACGTCTCTGGTGGTCCCAGCAATGGGAGAAACAATAGCTGCAGGTCTCTGGCCTGGGACAAATAATAACAAAAAATGTTAAAATACAGTTGAAAAAAAAACACAAATACATTTTTTTCTTTTTCTTGATTTTGCTCAGTTAAAATGATCAAAATTATTTCTATTTGCTAAATGCCAGAAAACTTGGCGAGACCATTTAAAATACAGCTAACCTAAATACTGACCAAACAAATCTAAACTTCTGAATTAGAGGAAAGTTGCAGAAGTAGTTTTATGAGTAGCGATGAGATTTCAACCAGGTGTTTGTTAATTGCTGTTGCCACTAGTCTGGAGGAGCTGACTGGGGAAGGCTTTGAGAGAGCAAGTGTTTATGCACCCCAAATGGCTGCAATGGGATATTAAAGAGTCATTTCAACACTCCAGGAATGTTTCTGATGAGGGAATGACATTACAAATATGACTTAACGTTGCAAAAAAAGTCAATTTTACATAATATTCCCTCTTCAAGCAGGTCAAACAACATGAAGGGTTATTCAGACCATCATAGGAAAGTAAAACAAGTAAACACATCAAAACTTGTCAACACGTCTAAACTGACACACAAATGACTCGAACCACGTGGCAAACAGAACAACACATCATCCTGACCCCCAAATTCTCGAACTTTCACCTCTTTGTTTTTCTGAGGGATGAGCAGGAAACACAAGTGTGACCCCCTTTTAAACTCTCATGACCTGAAGAATCTCCTGGAAACAGCCTGGTGCCTGATAACACAAAATACCTTCCAGAGGTCCTGAAGGGTTTAGGGCAGAACGAGTCGAAGCTGTTTACAAGTCATGGTTTTCAGATTATGTTTGCTTTTCATAAACGTAAAGACGTCAAACAACAGCTCTGGAAAAAATGACGAGACCACTGCACTGAACCCCATTGAAAACTTCTTGGAGGTTTTCCACCAAAATGTTGATGTCTGAAATCTTTCTGAGTTAAAACATCAGTATTACTGTTTATAAATGAATGTGAACTGGTTTTCTTTGCATCATTTGAGGTCTGAAAGAATTCTATTCTTTTCCTTAGTTTAACCATTTATTTTCTGAAAATAAATACACAATTTTTGCTTGGAATTTCAGAGACATGTTGTCAGTAGTTCATAGAATAAAATAACAATGTTCATTTACTCAAATATAATACCTGTAAAAAGTAAAATCAGAGAGACTGGTCATTATAATGATCTCTTATCTTTTCCAGAGCTGTATGACATAATTTCTGTCCATCTCAACTGGACATGGATCAATCACTTCTACTAAAACTAAAGAAAATGACTCTCAATGTGCTGCCAGAATAAGATGCCACCTGTCCTATAACTCCAATCAAGAAATTTACTTCCTATTAAATATCCCACAGTCAGCTGCTGTAAAAGGGGATTTATTATGCAAAATTCAGATTTTTAATTTTTTTTGTGCTTCCATTTGGGTCTCAATTGATTCTAAAAACAAAGAAACACGTAAAAACCAACCATGTTAATGTTTTATTTTGGTGTCTGGAAAATTAGCCGTTATGAAAACCTTCTGAATGCAAAATTACAAATCAGCAGTGTTACAGAGAGTCTACAGAGGAAACCAGAAGTTACACAACATATGTAAAAAGTGCCTGGCATGAAATCAGAAAACAGTTTTTCTGCTTTAGTCAATGAAAATTACTAACATGTTTCTATTTGATAAATGCCAGGATAATGAGAGCAAGAATTATTTAAATGTTTTATTACTTTCTTTAGAGGCAAAAGTTTAAAGTCACAAAAATTTGGGACATTCTTTGTAAGCTCCTGGTAGGTTTTATTGAAAAATGCATATGTATCTGTTTATATGTAAACTTTTGGTTTTAACTGTATTTCCGAAACAATTTTGTGACATTTTTTATTCAATCACAAACTGCAAAGCAGGTATAGGTAATAATTACACTCTGATATGTGCTTTTTGCACATTTTAATTAGGATTTCTTATTTAATTATTTGTATATTTCATATTTTGTATTATACTGTGGCATTTTTCTACTTGACAAATAGAAAAATGGATTTGTCAACAGAAAAAAAAGAAAACCCTGTTTTGATCATTTCATATTAAATCAAAATGGGCAATATTATGTAAACTAGTCTTTTAAGAGTCTCTCTCTTATGTAATCTTTATTACAAAACTCGTTTTTGCAGGTTGGATGTGAAACCAAAGCAAATCAGAACTGGACAGGATAACCGGAATATTATTCTAATAGCGAATCTCTGCCAAATTCCTGTTCCAGATTGGTTTATGTAAACCATTCCTAAATGACTCCAGGAAACTAATGTAATATTAAAACAAACATCTCATGTTGACACCATGTTGCTTACACAAGTGGAAACAGGAGTAAGGGTGATTCAATGGAAGATATGCTGACCATTTGCTGCACAACTCATAATAATTATTGACACAATAAGCCAGAAACTCAAATATATTTTAGTTGAACAGAAATGTATATGTGACCATAAACAGGCATTTTAACACGTCAGAGAACTAATTAGTGAAAATGACAGGAGACAGTTTTATCAGTGGCTTTTGATAGAGTAGCACAGATTCTCGTGTCTACTTCCACAGAGTGATAGTTCAGACTCAGACGTTTTATTTAATCTGTAAAGGAAACATGTTTGTTTGTTTCTTTATATGGACCCCTCTAGTGACTCAGATCTCTCTGAGTCGGTGCCAGGATGACGAATTTTGCTTTTTCCCCCTAATAAATCAAGTGTGATTTAACAATAAGTCTGTGTTTATGTTTCAGCAGACTCATTTAAAGCTATTCCATCATGTGTGCTCATGCGTTCTTGGCTCTTACAGAGTGTGTTGAGGAGGCTGCTTTTCCCCGCGTTGGTGGCACCAGCGATCACCACATGGACCCCGCTGCGAAGCCTCTCGCCTCGCCGCTCATCCTTCAGATGCTGCTCGATCTCTGCTCGCAGATCACACACTGAGATGTCCACTAATGGAGGAGGAAAAAAGTCACTGCACAGAACAGCAAACGATGGAGGGTTTAGAGTCACTTTAGGGATTTAAAGTTGATGTTCTTCAGAGCTTGTTAAGTTTTGAGTTGCACAAACTCTTCTAAAAAGGATAAATTATACAGTTGATTCAGGCAATTATACAATTTACTTGTGGCACATTCTTCAAACTTGTATATTAAACCTTTTTCAAGCTGCCTGTGTGTGATTTAGAATATTAAAAAAATAAAAATCAAAGGGTGTTTCCTCAGACATAATTTTTTTTACTAATTCACAAAGGAAACTTTCCTCAACTGTATTGAATTAGAATGCATGCAACTGAATTCAACTGGGGAATATATAAATTGGATCTAGCAGAGTTTCTTGAGACAACAGTTGTTGTGAATTTAGTTGAATCCTGGAATAAACACTGACAAAACCTCTTCAGACCAGGACAGAGGTTGATATTCCAGCAGGATAACAGCAATAAACACACAAATTCATATGTTAGAATTGCCTAGTTATCCCACATCGACAAGACTTAACATTTGATGCTGAAACTGCGGGAAAAGGTTTTTCTGCAAAATATTCACTCAATGGGTTGAAGTGAATTAATTGTTCTTTAAAATCTAAAGTAAGTTATAAAGAGTCTGAGTTTTTGGCCTTGAGGTGAATCTGCTGCAGGATCCACTCCGGCTGTCATTCATACACACCTTGGTCTAAAACTCCTTCCTCGATGAGCTCATCCTCGCTGAAGTCTATAAAGGCTTCGACATGGGCTAAAGTCTGAAAAGAGGCAGAAACAGTCTGAGTACAGCATGCAAGGACAGGCTGTTTCACTCAAATTAACAAAAAAAGACATTATGATAGTCCCACAAACAGTCTTATGTCTAGTCATTCATCATTAATGTCAGAAAACTGAGAAAAGATGTGAGAAAAACACAAAAGAGCAGAACTGATTAGATTATAAAGTGCAATAATTTCAAAATTATTCAAACCTCTTTTCACTTTTTCCAGGGTTTTAATCACCAACTTCACTACATTTAAATTAGAAGTTAATACGTTGCACTAGATTTGCAGGTATTAGAGTAAAAGGGGGATATTACCCCTATTATGATGTTTTACTTGCAAAACAGTTGCAATAATTGACTAATTTCTGCCAGTTTTGTTCATTAAATCCCAGTTAAACACATTAAAATATGCGCTTGTAATGCTGAAAAGGTTTAAGGTGGATGAATACTTCTGCATGTTCTCGCTGGGGATCCATTTTATTTACTTAAAAATAAAATTCATTAATTAATTCAATTAAAAATTAAATTAAAATAATTTAGAAATAAACTATTTAACAATAAATGGAATCACAGGAATCATTTCTTATTTGCACGTGTAATGTTTTAATTGACTTAACCATCCAGTAATAATTTGAAAGTAACAGAAAACAAAAAACCAGATGGTTTCTTTCAGGTCTAAATGAGATATTTAACTTAAAATGCATGTTTACTTAATATACTGAGTTTAATTCACCAAAACTAGCTGAAGTTCAAGATGCAATGTGTTAAAAACAAGTCCAGCTCCGATTCAGCCGCTTGCAGAAACATGTGCAGATGCAATAACTTGAAGTAATTGTCCTTTTAATGACAAGGCTAATATCCTTACAGTAGCCTTATTGTCTGACATGTTTCTGTGGAGGAAATGTGGCTAATAATGTTATTCCAGTTAAGTCATTTATGTCCAGCCAAAAGATTTTAATTAGATAAGTTAAATGCCTTGTTTCTTTTCTTTGTCAAACACTCTGGTTTTTTTCATGTCTTTAATCAGCTGTGATTCTGCCCTAAACAGTGACTCTAAAAAGTGAAATGGATCTTTATCTTGTGCTTGCAGATAATTTAATGTGCAGAAAATAAGGAAATAGAGAGCTGTACAAAAACATTTGCTCCCTTGCAGACTTAAAGAGTTTGGTTTAAAAAAAAATCAGACCAAATTGAACAGAATAAATAAAAAAATTCAGCTTTAAAATGTTTCTTTGACTAAAAATCATCAACAAGTGGTGAAAAACATCCAGTGTTTCCTCAAAATGGCACACAAAGGAAGAAAGAAAAATAAATTTAGTATTATTGTACCTTATGGTACCCCATGAAAAGGAAGCACAAAGAAGGACATAAAATCACATATGCCAACTCAAATATGTCTCACTGCCAAACAGGAACAAAACACGTCCCACAAAACTAAAGATCTGAAACAAGGAGGAGTCAAATCTCACAGCAAAGAGTACAATCAATCGTTAGAATCACGATTGATTTAAGGAGTTTTATTTCAGTGCTGCTTGTGACACCTTTTAAAACCAAAACTAAAACTTTTAAAGCAAATGACTCCTCACTAAAAATGCACTTACCGACATGACAAAGTCAAAATTTAAATGTATTTTTAGAGAGGAATGTTAACAGTGATTCAATTTCTACTCAAATTCTTGATGAATTTTTCCCTCTGTGCTACATGGTTCTTTTTAATTTTAATATAAAGTACATAAGGAAAAATGCTTTGATATTTCCACCCCAACAAGATCGGCATCTTGATAAACATTAAGGAACATACACACAATAGTAGAGTAGCTGCAGAAAAACAGGAAGCATCGGACTCCAGCACTTTGCCCCATTCAGTTACATGGAAAGCCATTAAAAACATAGCATTGTTTAGGTGTCGGATAAAGACTTGACCCCTGTCATCATACAGATTGCATATTGCTGATTAGCTGTGTTCTCAGAAATCTGAGTGCAGAACAACAGACCGAACATCCAGCTTCAAGAAACCAAAGCCGCTGACAAGCAGATGAAACAAAGCTTCTCAGGGGAGAACACCTGGATCGGCCGGTGGGGTCAGCTGCCAAAACCATTTACTGTGGAACAAGTTCTGGCCAACTTCCACTGGGATGAAACCATTCACCTGCGGTCACTGACCTTCTGTGCTAAGCTGCTTTCACAGGATATGTGAGAGAAACTCAACTTTTGTAACTGCTAAATCTAAATGAGAAACACATGCATCCGATGACTCCTTTCAAAACTAGGAAGATGTTCAGTCAGAAAGACGTCATCAGTTCTCACTAGTGCATTTGGACCTGTTCATGTTCCTGTTATAGAAGTGCAAATTATAAGGTTATTTCAGAATGTCTTACTCGACACTGAGCAAATCCATATTTATTTTTTTTCTAGTTGACCTTAAAAATTATAAGGCCAGTCTAAGAAAATTCTGTTTTTTCAAATTGCAAGAATCAAGCCATAAAGAGAATAAAACTGTATGACAATAAAGCCATAATACTACAAGAAAAAAGCTGTAATGAGTATATAGTTCTAATTTTACTAGAATAAAGTTGTGATAATGCAAGAAGAATAATCAATTCATAATAAAGTATGAGAAGAATAAAGTAGAAATTTTATGAGAACTCTGACACAAAAAGTCAAATCACTGCATTAAAATGAAAAATGTTGAGAATCTTGTGAAGTTATGCTTATATTGGTTTTAGAAGTATGAAAATACTTTATCTCTCAACACATCAACATAAAATTATCACCAGTAGCAGTACCAGATTATCTATTTATAAGAAAGAAACGCACAGTCGCCAAGTTGGTGATAGCCACATCAAATGCTGATAAATATAGTAATAAAACTACTTTTTTTTGTAATTTTATTACTTTCTCAAAGTAATATTTGTATCAGAATAAAAATGATACTTCATAGAATAAAGAGCCTTGCAAAAGCATTAAATCTTTAATTTTTTTGTTAAGTTACATCTATAAACAGCAGATCAAATATTATGACTTTATGCATTTGACTAATACAAAGCAGTGCATAACCGAGATGTTAAAGGACAAATTTTAAGTTCTATACAATTTTTACAAATTATATAAAAGCGTAATATGATGGTTGTGTTTAACTGAATGTCAGTATAAGTCCCACTAATTTTGGAGAATGTTTTGTAATTATGAGGAATTAAAAAGCTTTATCTTATGAAGTGACCACTGGGGGAAGGAGAGGTTCCCTCCAGTCCTCATTGAGTCAGTAAGGAGAGTCAAGGTAACTCTGGAGGAGATGCAGAGATTTTCAGCTCAGATGAGCAAATCCGTTGACAGAACAGGTCAACAGGAATGAATGCAGCTGGAAGGCAGTATTCGTATCAGATAAATCAATCAAAGTGATTATGTTTTCAAGTACAATCATATGTTATGCAGTAGAAAACAACATTTTAGTTTTTTTAGTGAAGGTGAAATTCAGTGCTGCATAGAAGTAATCAAATGTTGCACTTTAACTGCAGGTTTCTGTGATAACTTAACAGTCACAGGTCACAGTGTTTACAGTATCAGCATCAGAATCAGAAATCTTGTTTCTGCATAAAGTAACAGGATAAAAGTGGCAAAATGGATGCATGTTTATCGATTAGTTTTCTGACTGTTGGCATTAGAAACACATGCACTACATGTCCTACAGCGACATGAAAACAGGAAGTGTCCGACTCTTTTAAGAGCAGCTGTAGAGATAAAAACAAAAACAACAAAAGCTTTGTGTGGGAGTGAAAACCACTGAGGTCTGACCTGCAGCTTGACACGCACCGCTTCTTCCCAAACTCTCTTCAAAACAATAAAACAATCAGAGTTCAGCTCCAGACACTTAAACAACTTTAATAATCTCCATTTTTATGCAAGAATTTTGACATCAAAGTGTTTTTATATACATGCTTCATGTTTTACACTAGTACTTCTCTGTTAGGTGAGGAAAGTGCAACACATACAACATCTTAAATACAGCTACATTTAAATCTAGTATCACACTAAATTTTGATATGTTGGGTCTGGATTCCACAAAGTTTCTAATGCAACACCAAAGTGATCGAGCATGACAATATTAATCACCTTAACCTAATCCCACCATGGGACCACTTGTGTTTTGTCATTTTAATGGAGGATTAAATTAGATTTAATGATTTCTTATACTTTTTATAAGAATTGAATGGTATTTTTCTTTGTTTTGTATTTATTGTTTCGAATTTACTGTATGTATTGGGAGAATTTGTCCTGCTAAGTTTAACCTTTTGTTTGTTTTTAGCAAGACAAATTTTTCAACAAAGAAAAACAGAAAAAAAAGCCAGTTTGGTGATTCTGGTGCATTTACATAAACATTTATTAATTCGTGTTGTCGCCACAAACAAATTAAAACATTTCAAATAATTTTGTGATTCAGCTCAGCAACTGTTAATCTAATTTTACTTTTATTATTTCAAAAGAAGAAACACTACAGCAGATATAAATGCGGTGCTTTATAGTAGCAATACAGAGAGTAGACTGACATAATTCAGTTTGCAGAAGGACTGACTCCTAATTTTCACACATCCTTTCTTCACTCTATCAGAAGGTCTACCTCAGGAGAGTCCAAAGTGTGGCTCAGGGGCCATTTGTGGCCCTTGAAATTGTTTTGTTCGGCCCCTGACCACAAGTAAGGAAAAGTAAAACATTTGGCCAACAAAATAGAAAACAATTGATGACCCGAAATATTTGGAAATTGTTTTTCTTTTAATACGGCAACAGTTCAAAGTACTTTTATGTTTTGGATCTTTGATGATTTATATTTTAATATAAAGTAGTTTATTGTTGAGGAGATAAAACTAAAGTAAAAAAAAACTAAAGTAAAAAAAAAATCTTATTTTTGCATTTTTAAATGAATAAATTCTGTGGCCCATCAGTAGTTTTAATTTGCCAGTTTGGGCTCTCTAGGCTCCCTGACTTACCCGTTTCAGCCTGTGGCTCCAGTCCTGATAGAGGCGACCCAGTTCTCCTGACATCTGTCTGAGAGCTTGTCTCCGCTGAGCCTCTGTCTCGGCATGGATCAGATCCCCGAGGCCTTCCACCTTCAGAGTTACCCAGAATTACAAATCTGCATGTTTTTATTACAAAACATCTGCTTTTATCTACATTTGTTTATGCAGTATAATCAATTTTAACAGGACTGAAAAAATGTCCTCTCTTAATGTACCTCATGAGTTCTCTATTAAATACAGCTAAGCTTATGAAGAAAAATCTTAACTTGAATTATAACAAACAAACCTTTTTGCAGTGAATATAATATGTGGTATCTTAGCAACTGTATGTGCCTATCTGCAGGAAATGCTATAAAAATCAAAATACTTAAAAAAGATGATAGTATATACTAAAGTGGATATTGTTATAAAAAAGTCCTAGTAATAACTGGATTAGAATATGACATAAGATTGAATTGATATGATATGAACATAGCTGTTTATTTTCTACGGAAAGTAAACTTTTATAAACCCACAAAGCTGCGGATTTCAGTACATCACCTTCAATCTATAAATGCCCAATACCTGCATTTATGCATGAGCCTATCACAGCCCAGTGAAATAAACACCAGTGGGTGAATTTTCTTGTTAACATTTTCTAGCTTCATTAGATTTGACTCTTCACCCTAAGGAACAAAACCTAAACACAGGGTCAGAATGCTTTTACGCTCTCCTCTGACTTACCTCCGTTAAATCGAGCTTCCCTGCGTGGAAAGCCCTCCGTGTGAACTCCCCAGCGTCAGCAGGCCTCATGCCAGGCACGCTTCCTGAAAAACACACACACACACTAACAAAAATGAAGAAACGGCATGATGTATGCATGCATCATGCACATAAAACACGCACACACAACCACAGGACAATCAAATAAAGGCCATCAGGGCATCACGACAGGCAGATCTGCAGGTTAACAAAGGTTGCGTGTGCATTGTTCGCTCAGCTGTTTTTCAAATCTCTCCAGGAGACCAAAGGGAAGACAAAACTATGCATGGCAGATTTGTCATGCATAGTACACAGTAGATAAAATATGTTAGATTATCATATTGGAAAGAGTTATTAAGATTCTTTCCACAGTACAGAAACATGATTGTTATTTAGTTTTAATTAAGTGGGTCTTAGCTATCACTGAGTGCAGTCATGGTTTATGTTGCCCTGTGACAGACTGGCGACCTGTCCAGGGTGTAACCTGCTTCTCGTACAATGACTGCTGGAGAAAAGCACCAGCCTCCCTCCTCCCGCAAAGATAAGTGTGTATAGACAAGGGAAGGATGGATAAATATCACAGCATTTATTATACCATATAAATATTCCTGAATAATAAAAATCCCACAGCTTATGAACTAGCAGCTCTCCACTTTGCCTTGAGCAACACTGCCCTCTATGGAGTCCACAGAGAAAATGCTGAAAAACATTCTCTGAAAATCACAATTGGACCGGTCATGCCTGCCAGTGCAAATATTTTAAGTACCTAAGAAACGTTGATGCCGGTGTCAGTTTTCCTTTTTAAGTCCAAGAAATGACTCTAAAGCGTAGAGAGTTTATAATCACACTGAAAGCTCAGTGCTTGAGAAAGGGAGGCTATAAATACCCACAGACAGAGCCACTGGCACTCTGAAACCAGCATTACTTTACAGTTTATAATCCTGGGCCATTTGTGATACATAGAGATGCAGGAGCAAGAGTGATCACCTAGAGCTTGTAAGACAGCAGTAATGACAGCAGGACCGCCATGGATGTGAAACTCCACACTGTCTTCTCCAGTGAAACTATGAGGAGCTGGTAACAGAAAAACAAAATTATCATCATTAGTAAACCAACAAAAATTCCCTCTCATGACTTTTAGTCAAGATCTTCTCAACATCAAGACAACTTCCAACAAATTCCAAATAAATGTTTTTTTGTAACAGAATTAAGGTACAAAATAACAAAACACGTAATCATGTAGAAAACCTGAAGCGAGGAGGGCGTGAGGGAAAGAATGATCTTGAGAAAAGTGGTAAAAAAATACTTCTCTCTCTGTGTGATCAAACTTAAAAAAAATTTACAAGAAAAAACTGTCACCAAAAGGAGGTTGTAAAATCTTTTGAGATTCCATAATGTGGAATTTCTTTACCTTCTAAGTAAAAGTACACATTTCACCTAAGTTGATGCTGCTGCAAAAAACTTTCAATTAATTTTTTTCTTATCTGTACCAAAACTACTTCTCCATAATTTGAAACCATTTCCTTTGTTAGCTGAGAAAACAACATTGCATCAGTAACCTGAAGCATTATGTCACAGCCAGAATGATACCAAACAAACAAGATCTGACGAGTGTGGGAGTCTAACCTGGGAACCAGAGGACCAATCCGCGGTCCAGTACTTCTTTAGTGTGGGGGTCTGTGATGCTACGTAACAGTGCAGTTCGTGGAGGAGGCAGCTGACTTCCGAGCCCAACCATACATCTTAATGCTGTGGCTGCAGCAGAACCACTGATGCGGACCACTGCTACCCCACACCTGCCATGACCTGATGACAAGGCGAAGATGGTGTCAGCATCCGCTAGTCCAGCCAGAACTCTGCCTCCAGAGGATAGACAGCGATACAGAGTGATGTCTCTGCAGGAGGATAGATAAATGTTTTTATTTGGATTCTTTAGACATGTCAGGCCACAAGATGTTAGTAATTTACTGTTAAATAATTATATGTGACAAAATACGTTCTTGCAGTTACTTCGTGACACATTTGCTATACTTGTTGCATGTTATCTTTCTAACTTACAAATATTTAGGAGTCAGGAAAATATTTTTTGATTTTTTGTTAAGGTGTAATGGACCTGAAACCTAATGTATAAATTAATTTACGCTCAATTAGATTAATTTTACAGGATTTTTTTTAGTGTTTCAATACTGATTAGAACAAAATCAAATTCTTAACATCATGATATGAAATATCTTTAAACAAAAGTGATAGTAAGCCTTTTTATTATGTTTATCTCAACATATATTTTAATTAAATATATTTTAGATTTTTGTGTTTAGCCTATAAAACTGATTTGAATATAATTTGATTATTTTATCTAATTATATTAAATCATTTGTTTTGAATTTCAACTCTTTAGAAAATTTAATTGATAGAGGTAAATATCTCTTTGAGATAGATTTAGCACCTTATTTTATCACTGTGCTGCGTCCCTGGAGTTTTTAAAGAAATAAGCCAAAAAAACTGGGACATATTGAATCTCTGCACCAGTCTGTAGGTTATTTTAATAGTGTGTGATGTGCAGACACAACATTGAATCATCTCTTGCACTGTAACGTCTTATTAAGTTGACTTTGAGGTACAGATAAAACACGTTGCTCCTAAAAAATGTCACATATCGGCTCAACATAACTGAAAAAGCGGGCAAAACAAACAGCTTACGATTCTTGAACAGCATTAATGATTTTCCATCATTTTAAACAGCACAACGCTACTGCATGCATTGAGTTACACAAATAAAGCATAAACAAGGAACAAACCTTGTAAGTGTGCGGATCGCAGCTCTGTATATTCCTCCACAAACAGCTGAAATTGGCAGCATTGTTGCAGAATAATACATTTAAACTTTAATTTATTGCCATTTTATTAGGTAATCTGAGAACTACTGCACCGTCGGTACATTTTAACCTGTTAACTGAAAACAGGTGATAATGAGAAACAAATGTTTGCTAACATACGGACAGGTGACAATCCGGGATCTTCAGTAACGAGCAGATCCATGCTGTCGGCGTCTTCTTCCTGTTTCTGTGGGGGTTTTTTTCTCCAGGATGTCTGCGATTGGTCAACACGTTTTTTACGCAGACGTGATCTCTATTTCTATTCGTCTTATCAGCAGAGTCCCGCCCCTTGTGCATCGGAAAATCAGGTCCGTAAATACTGTTCTCCTCAAACGTTCCGCCCCATTCCCTGAAAGTTCACCGGGACAGTCAGGGCGAACAGTCTTTTCTGCTCAATTTATGATGTCAAACACTAAAAATATTAACTAAATATTTACAAAAAAAAAAGGAAAAAATAGTGGGAATAATCTTCACAGTTTTTCTCCAACAGTGAATTAAGATGTTGTACTTTTAGCTTCAGCCACATTGAGGTAGGATCACAATTTTCATCCTCTAGATCAGAGATCTGCAACCTAGAGCTCTATAGCTAGAAGTGACTCTGCGGCACACTTAATATATTTAACAAATATTGCCCTGTATTAGTTTGTTTGTTCATTTGTTTTATGCTCACGTGAAAAACCAAACAAACACACACAAATAACCATTCTGGTCCTCCTTTGGTAATTTTTCTCTATAACCACCATTACATCTGTCTGACTATATTTTAAATAATTTGCATGTAAAAAAAAAATAAAATCTTATGTCAACAGGACAAGTTAATAATGTGTTGCCAAAATGACAAAAAGCCACCTTTTAATTTAGTTTGGTAAAATAGTTAAAACAGATCATAAATGATACAATAAACAATAAAAAAAAACAAGGTTAGGTTTTACTTAACCTAACCTTGTTTTTCATGGTGCAGTTCAACACAGCAACCATGAAAAACACAAATATAGAAGAGATGCACATGACAAAGTAGATAATTCAGTTTGCAAGGAGTTTCTCATGTCTGCAGCCATCAAAAAGCATATGACCTCATGAATGAAACATCATTCAGTCATTATAACATTTCCAAATCTACAATTGGAAGCAGTGAATGTGTTTATATTCTGTTTTCTTAGACTTCAATGTAATCAAAATCATTTTAAGCTAAATTCTTTGTTTTGTGTTGCTTGCATATATATTTATGGTTTTGGCTTGCATCAGTCTATCTGTATTATTCACAGTGTTTTAATTATTGTTTAAACACACAACATCAGTGCACGCCGCACAATAAAGTTACAGCCTACAGGCTTCATGTGCACTGATGTGAGTTTGTGGCCCACTGCAGAGTCTTGCTGCTGTCAACCCTCTGAGCTGGTGAGTAAGCAGAAATTCTGCTCCAACTGGACTCGCCTCTGAGTTGTGAACCATGATACCAAGGGGAGGGCCGTCAACCTGACGGAGTGGCTGCAAGGAGAAGCACAATGGAAGAGATTTCTGATTGTGTCCACTTTGAACAGGTACAGCATGAGGCTTGGGATAATTTTTTTAACCTTCATTTATAATTTATAGCATGCTCCATGTGAGGAAAAGGCACAAAGCAGCTGCTACCTCACAGCTCCTGAATTCTGTATTAACACTTTGAAATGACACAGTGGGTGTCATTACTAATGACAAAATTCTCCTTGTAAAGAATAATTACATATATTTGTTTGTTTATGCACACCTGAGATGCAGTTTACCAGCTCCATCAGTGGCTTTGCAGATCCATACATAAATAATATGATCTGTATACCATAAATATTTGTTTTGATGTATATGTATATAATGCATAAACCACTATTGTCTAATGACAGACCTCAGTCTACAAATTGAGTTATATCTGTCAACAAACATGACACAATCTTCTGCAATGATACAATTTATATTTATCCTGAGACATGTTTAATGAGACACATAGCAGTTTAGAAACAATCTTCTCACTGCCATTCCTGGTGAACTGAAAGGTACTCGTACCTTTACCTGGACACTGATGAATATTTAATCAACAGCTATGATTCTGCATTATTAAATAAATCATATAGCCTGTTTAGTTTTCCAGGAAAGGGTGAGATAGTTAAAGTGATAGAGACTAGAAGACTCCACTACTCTGCCAAAGGGGACTATTTTTATTCTCTAATTTTAAATCAAATCTATGTAGATGTAATTGTTTTTTGTTTGGTTTTTTTTTTTTTGTATAAGATTGGGCAATTTATTTTTTATGCTTTAATGTAATATTACGGTTCTGCAAGACACAACATCTTTTCTATTGACATTTGTTTGACAAATGCAGGACAAATGCAGAAAACAAAACTGATCAAATCCAAGACAGGAATATTGGTAAAAGTTAAACTGTTATAAGTTCCCTGAAAACAAAACTATCAAATTAAATTAAAAGTAGTCAACATATGATGACAACTTTGTGCTGCATCTGTTCTATTAAAAAAGACTCTTCGTCACAATAATTGTAATAAAATCTGGGTGACTTAAAACAACTTTTTCCTCACTTTTTTTTTGTAGAAAAACATTTTTTTTGTTCTTATTCACAACAACTGTGGAACCTGGAGATTATGTTGCAAAGACGAATTTTTCACAAAATCAAGAAAATCAAGCACCATCTTGTTCATGAGCAGTCATACAAAAACCGTTGAGTGTCTTCAGTCAGAGGCTTCTTCAGCAGTAATACAGACTGCTACAGGAGATCCTTCTGGCTCACAGCAATCAGCATCTAAAAAAAACTGAACAAAACTTGGATATGACTTACAACATTTAGCTTCCCTTTGGGATCAATAAAGTATTGTTGAATTGCGTTGAAGTAAATTTAACTACTTTTTTTCGTTTTCAATCACCTCCTTATGAGATGAAATGAAGCTTGTTGTTGTTATAAGACCAAATGATAAGTTTGCCTGCAACACCTTTGCAGTAAACAGAAAAATGCGCACTTCTCTGACTTCTTGCTGCCAGGTAGAGTGATGAGTATGAAGAAACAATGCACATTCTGCCATTCCTGGTGAACAATGTGAGCCATGGAGCAAACAATCACTCTGTATTTCTATTTCTGGCTTACTTACAGAGTTCACTGTGTGGTGATATTATTACATGTCTGAGGGGCATGGAAAATCAAGGTCATGCATGTTTTAAAATGACTATTAGGAGTCAGTTTGCAGCTTCCATGCGGTTTAATTCAGCATGAGATGACTTGAGTAACACCTGCAGGTCCACTGTAATGATCTAGGACAATAGTCAATTATCAGGGTGAACGCTGTAAGGTGAAATGAGTGTGTCATCCAGTCCCCTCCCCCGCCCTCCCTGTCTTTGTCCCTCCTCCAGTCATCATCGGAGCAGCTCTCTCCATCTAGCCGCGCATCCAGCTCCAGAGCCCCGCCAGGATGATCCGCCGCCGCACCGACAACCTTCACTTCACTTTCACTCCTGTCCTCTAATAGAGCCCCATCCTTCACCCATGCGCTGCCTCCCTCCTGAGATGCGACACCGCTGCCTCATTTCCCGGACGATACCTTCATCTTGCGTCGCTCCTCGCTGATAGAGAGCATGCCCGACGCGGGGACGGGAGGCGCTGCGGCCGCCGGGGGTGCGACCACCTCCGGCGACGGCTCCGAGAGCTCCCGCCACCGACACCGAGCGCAGCAGGGGGACTCGGAGAGGCCGGAGCCGGGTTCTGCCCCGCAACAGAGCTCCTCGGGAGTCCTGGGTGAGTCGCTTCGCTTCGGACGGTGAGGCTTGGAGTCGGAGGAGAGGACAGGTGAAACAGCAGCACCAATCCTCCTCCTCCTCCTTTGTCTCCCCAAAACGATCACATCGTGTCACTTCAGGCCTGTAATTCATGGTCTTATCTGCACTTCTTGCCCGGAATATGTCTGTTTTTGCCTCTGCGGAGGGAGATGGCTTCATTATGCACATTTAGAGCTAGTTTGACCTTATTGTTGAGTAATGAGGAGCTTATTACCACCTCCTGTCCCAGCATTATTACTACACCGTTCCTCTGAGCTCCTTTTCTGCTGCATAATGTCTGTTAGGCCTGCAGTTGTTCTTCTTTGTAAACAAATATTTCTGTCACCCAGGGATTTTATGAACTATTGCAGGTGATGCCCTGCAAAAGTATTTTATTTTACTTTTATTTTCACGTTACAACCAGAAATCTGTGGAGAGCACATACATTCAGGCCCCTTTCCACCCTGTTACCCCTAAGTAAAATCTAGAACAATTAAATCTGTAGTCACTCTATGGGGAAATACAAAATCCAATAATCATGAATAAACATCAAGTTCAGTTCAGAGCACAAGAACCTACCAAAACGTCCACCTTAATTTGCAGGTTATTGGAAGTTATTAAAAAAACAGACTGGTGTTAACTCCGGAGGAGCTGCAGAGATTCACAGCTCAGGTGAGAGAATCTGTCACCTGATAGCACAAATCAAAGTGCTTGAGAAAAGAAAATTTGTTTAAATTAAAAAGACTGTAATTGCTAATGTGTACTATGCTAAAACAACAAAAGACAGAGGACAAATAAAGGCAAATTAAATCAAAAGACCATAAATGACATCATTTAGAAGTATATTTTGAAATAGGGCTGCACAATAAATCAATAACAATACATATTGTAATTAACACATGATTAATTATATTGGAGAGGGCAAAATGTTGTTGATAGAGAGCTACAAGAAACCTCATGTGCACTTTGTAAGAAACCTTGAAGGCTGTTTCTTTCTTCAGAAAAGACAGGAAAACTAGTCAGGACAGTCTTGGACAAAACCCGGTTAGAGGTTCTCAAAGCCTTGAGACTCAAGCCCAAACAGTGTTGTGATAGTATTATACAGAACCAAACATTGTCGTGTTTGGAGGGCTCAATCAAAGTTCAGACCTAAAACTAATAGAGAATGTGTGGAAAGACTTTTCTGTTGCTTTTCACAGACACAAGCTGCATTTCCATTACTAATGTGTGCAAAACTTTGTGAATTTTCTGCTACTTTCAAAAAAATAAATATTTTGTAGTTGTGGTTTTTCCATTTAAAATCACACATGAATAAGTTTGTTAACATAAGTAATTAGAAAACATGCTGTGCCACCCTCCTCTTGTTAC